TAGGCATTGGTTGAGCTAGTCCCACCATCAAGGGTGATAGTGAGGACTTGAGACAGAAGCTCCTTTAGCTTGGTTGGGTCCCTGGACTGTTCTGAAGTCACCAAGGCCTTGGCTCTAGAGAATGGCCTTGATCTCCCCATGTACCTTATTTTGTACTCAATCTTCCTATTTTCAAACTTGGTGGGGAACAAAGTCATTGTGAGCTGAGATGGCTTGACTGAAGGGGCCTGAGCTGGTGGATCCTTTCTTTTATCTCCTGGTCTTTCCTTAGAGGCTGCATCCTCCCCTTCTTGTAGAGCCCTTCCTAGTGGCTCATCAAACAAAGCTTGAAGGCTCTCTTCATCAAGCACACAAGGGGCTTGAACAAGTCGCTCAGCTCTTGGCCTATCAGATAGTGGTTTCTCAACTCTAGCCCTCTCAAGACGTGGCTTCTCAATCCTTGGTCCTCTCTCATCCTTATCCTTCCCAACTCTTGGTTCCTTGCCAACCCTTTCCTTCACAACCTTTGTAACTCCATGACTCTTAGAACTGAGATTGGCACTGTCAATTGTGGCACAAAAGTCTGAACCTCTAGGCTGCAAGCGATATGACACCAAACTATTCACCTTGTGAAGGATCACTTCTTGCTTGTGAAAGTCTATTGAAGCGCCAACTGTACTAAGAAAAGGTTCCCAATAACAGAGGCAAATCCTTCTCTTCTTCCATTTTCATCACAGTGAGATCAGTTTGGATGATGCATTCTCCAATTTTCAAGTGATAATTCTTGAACACTCCAAGAGGAGATTTAGTAGTTGCATCTCCAAAGATGATTGAAGTAGTAGGGCGCTGCAAGGCTCCAGCTATGCCTAGCTTCTCTGCCATGGAGAGAGAGATCAGATTGATGCTTGCTCCAGAATCCACTAATTCATTGTCAATCTCAAGATGCCCAAGTGTGCAAGGGAGAGTGAATTTCCCTTGATCCTTGACCTTTGGTAGGAAGGTGGGTGAAGTAAGCAGGTTGAACTGATGAGTAGACTCTTGTAGGACCTCTGAAACTTTATCACTGTTGGCAATAACATCCTTGACCATTTGCATTTGATCAAATGCCTCACTCATGCTATCCATAGTAGGCAACTCAATTCCAATCCCACTGAGATCTCTTCTGAACTTGTGAATCACTTCCTTGTGACCTTGACTAAGTAGGCAAGACGAGGAAGCGGCAACCGGTTGATAAGGATCAAGCAAAACAGGCTGCCGGGCAGAAGAGGTCGGACTCGATCAAGCTAGAGTTGGACTCGATCGAGCTGCCGATCGAGCTTGTCGTGCGAGCTCAACTGGTGAAGTGTGAATGGCCACAGTAGGTGCATGCACTTCTGGTTGATCTATCTGGACTCCAGGAGCCTCAGCAGCAACAATCTCTTCATCATTCAGCAGTAAACAAAAATCTTCAATGACCCTTTCTTGACACTACAAGAATTCAGTCAATTAGCTGCCGATTATTTCGTAGCTATGGTACACAATCTGTCGCCAAAATTAGTTTAGCCACAGATGGCGACAAATGAGTTCCGTTGCATCAGCGTCGACGCTATTCTTGATCTCTGGCTAATTTGTTGCCAGCTAGCAACGGATTGGCAAGAGCAGTAACCGTAGCCAATAGCAACAAATATGGCTACAGCTTGTTCCGTTGCTTTTTAGTGACGACTTTAGCGAAGGACCTGCGTGACTATATAGCTACAGATTTTAACGACAGTTTCACCTTAGCCAGTTTGTAGCCAATTGTAGCCACAGATTTTGTTATAGAATATGTGTGGCTGATTGTTGGATCTAGCGATGACGATACCTATGGCTAAAGTCGTGGCAAAGTTAGCAACCAATGTCATTGTAGCCATAGTTAAAGAGTTTATATGTGTTATCTGTAGCTAAGATAATATAGATTATTAGTTCAATAGAGAATATTTGGTTTTCAATAAAGAAATTAAACTGCATAGATTGTCTGTAAAACATTAAATGTATTATAACAAGAAACCTTAAAGCGGCATACATCATACTAAGTCAACAAACAAAAGCTTTAACCTGAAAACTGAAAACAAAAGACTCTTGCTTGTTTTGTCTTCATTTTTCCCTAGCGAGAAGAAGTGCCTGATGTGATCTAGATTGTGCTAGCTGCTGTTGGAATGCGTGGATGGAGAAGAGTCAGTAGAGGCATCAGTAGCTGCTGCTTCAGTTGGAGAAGTTGGGTGTGGAGCTGCTGAGATAGACTAGGTGGCTGCTCGACACCAGGTCTTGGTGCCACTGTCAGTACTATAGCTTCACATAGAGCCGTCAGCTGCTGGCTCATAAGATTGACAACTCCAGTTAGATTAATCAGATCCTTGTGATAACGAGATTCACCATCAGTGTGAAAGTGTTGTGAAACAACAATGTCCTCAACTTGTTCGACAATCTTCTTTGCACGTTTGTCTGCAAAAGTGCCATTGGGTTTCATGTCCGTCTTCCTCACAAAGTCTGTGATAGCTGGGCTCCTCACCACACTCCATCATCTGTTTGAATTGCTTATTGTAAAAAGTAAACGACAATAAGGCAAATGGGGAGAAAATTGCATAAGAAACAACAAGGGATTTAGAAAACATAAGGGATAATAATAAATTAAGGGACTCAATCATTTGCACCATGTCACATACCTTGGCGTATGATTTTGGAGTGTTGATGCATACCATCTCCACCACGTATGACTTTTCAAGTTTGTAGTGCTAATATCAACCAGAAATCAGTGGTAAAATCACTTCAAATATCATATTTTGACCTCATTGTCAATGGAGATCCTATCATGAGAAGGCATAATCTTAAGTTACTGAAGAGGAATTCTAGATAAATGTAGTTTAAATTTTATATATTGTACATAACAATCACTTACCAAAGTGCGTCCTTTATCTTCTGGGGATGGAGAGTCGGCTGGTTTCTTCGTGCTCCTCGTCCAACGTAACCCCTTGCCATTAGTCCGCCTCATGTGGTCGATGCATACTGCAGTTATAGAGATTTGAAAGACATTAGAGACCAACGTGAAGGTAACTATCACTCAAAGTATTGTGCATACCAAATCGTTTCTTAACTAAATAATTATATAATGAAATGAATGGATTTCAGTAGTGAAAAGTTATTGTTTTAGCCACACAAAAAAACCTTGTGATTTAAAGGAAGAAATTAACTATTAATCGGATTACTGTGTATAAACATCAATTACTGAAAATTGAAGAGATAACTTCACCAAATTAGCAGAGATTCAAAGAAGATTTGAACACTAAATCAATTTCAACATAATAAATATCAAATACCCAAGCAAAATTGCATGATTTCATCAAAAATAAACTCAAACTAGAGATTTACAGAAGAATCTAACCTTAGAGATTAGTGGCTAGGAGAAAGAGAAAAGGAGCAATGGAGAGAGAGAGAGAGAGAGAATGAGATATTGTGTATTTTCTGCCATGAAAGAGGAATGGTCGATTAAGAGAGTGGGAGAAACTGAGATATTATAGGGTTCTTTGTGGAAGGAGTTGAGGGAAAAGAATGAGCCGCGAAGGAGAAGAGAGAAAGAATGAGCTGCCATTCGCGAATTGGAAATGAGAGGAATAGAATGAGCCGCAAATTGGGATGAGAGGTAAAGAAGATCTAGGTTTTGCAAAAATCACGAGAAATCAAATTTTGACCAAAAAAGTGTGCGGGAAAATGAAAAATTTGGGGAAGGTTTTGGCGGAGAGTTTCCAAACACTCGGCGGACATTTCCAAAAAATTGAAAGTGTTATTCAATTTTGTATATGGCTACAAAATATATGAAAAGTAAATGTTATTAACTATTGAATTTGCTAGGAACCAAATATGCAAGTGTTATCATTATTATAACTTCAAATTTCATATAATTTGAAAAATCTACACTCCAATATATATATAAGTTACGTATCTTTCCTTGAAGTTTCATAGTGATCTTCAATGTTATTAAAAAAATATACAATCATTCAGACTTGGCATTAGAACCTTGCTTGATGTTTCATAGTTTAACTTCAATAGTAGTGTTTTTTCATACATAAAAGAAAACTAGTAAAGAAAAAAATTAATTATTTAAACCATAGAAAACATTGAGGATACATATTTAAGTTAATTTTTGGAATTAATTGATTCACTAGTCTAAGTAAACTAGTGAAATTGAATGAATTTAGCCTAAAGCAACAAGCCAAACTGTATATGAATTAAAACTAAAGCAAAAAGGTATTATTAGGAAATTTACCAAGAACACATGCACATGTTACATTACGTCTTGATCCTTTCCCGACCGTCGAGAGTTGGCCTTGTACGTGCCCGCATGTTTATTTTTTACTGTGACCATCGAGAATTGTCTTGTGAACTGTTTTCTTTTTTAAGCAAGGTTAGAATTGTGAACTAGTTTTGAGGTGAAACATATAACAAATATGTTCGGGATGAGAAATGTGAGATGAGATTGAGTTGTTGATCTCATTATATAAACTGACAATCGGTACCATAGTTAATATTTACGTTCAATGCAAATCTAACAATCTGACATAAAATAAGTAATTTAAAGATTTCATAGGGAACCAAAGTGATTGAACGTACACCAACATAACATAATTGTATCTTTTTTGTTTTTTCTAACATTCAGCTCTTATTAGAAGTGAAAGGAACAAAGAACAGAGAGTCTTCTCCAACAAATAGAGAACAAAAACAGAGTACACAAAACAGAGCCACAACGACAAAATCTCCAAACCAAAAAACAGAGAACCGTTTACACAGACGTCTTTCAGCCTAGCAGGATCTTAAGTCGCCACTTTTGATGGAAATCTATCCTCCACCGTTCTTCTTGCTATAAGCCATGCACATTGTTCGAACCAGGCGACTCCACTAGTCACATATGTACACTACTTCCTTGCAAACTGTTAATATCATCTCCAAAGATGGTTCCTGGAAAACTGGCCGAGCCGGTCGGTGAGTGATCGTTCCTACTAGCTCAGAGGCATCTGTTGCAAAAACAACTCATTCAACACATAGAATACACATGCTCTCCACAGCTCAAAGATGTCCACACGCCTTCGCTTCATTTATGCTATCTATAAAACTAAAGGCTCTTCTACTACGAGTAATTACAACTCCTTCATGGTTCCTAACTATCCACACGCTCCGCCAACAAGTTTCTTCTTTAGACATCGACATAAATGTGTTGTTTACAACTTGACATCCTCGCACCAGAAACAGAGAGAGATTCTTCCATGCACTCAAAGAAGAAAAATCCCTGAGATAGTTTCTCATCGTACAGTGGCGGCTCCCAAGAACTTACAAAAATCCTATTAGAAAGCACTTAAAAATCTCCTCAAATAAAATGATTTCAAGAACATGTGTACGTCACTCCGTTCCAGACCGTGGAGGATTGAACTCAAATAATCTGTTTTTTTGTGTAAAACTAATCCATAATCATTTTTTGTTAGTGCATGTGTAAAACTAATCCATAATCTTTTTTCTTTAGTTAAAAAGAGAATTTCATTCAAAAGCTCTGAAGGAACAGATCAAATAGTCAAAACAGAGTATCAACCAAGAAAAGTAAAACCAGGCTCCTAAAACAGAACAGCATACAACGAGACCTTTTACTACACCATGGCAATTGGCATCTCCTTTTTGAAGAGCTCTCGCATCCATATGGGTCCACCTTTTGCCGCATACATATAAGATCACACTTTTCGTCCTGTCACATTTAGACGATTGTCCATGTGACTACACTTTTTGCAATCTCAAAAACTCCTCCGTTACAATTTGGAGCTTCGATACAGTTGTCCCGTCCTACTTGATCTCTTGTTAGCTCAAACAGACCTGCAACATGTCCCATAGAGACTTACCAGACATGCAACCGTTATAGATCTCTAGGTCGTTTCCCACATGGAGACTTCTCATACTCTCAAGGGCCCTTCTCATATATGGCTTGACTTCTCTCTCACAAGTCACAACCCATGAGACACATAAATCATTCTATATATTCTTCAACCAATAGAAACCTATATTGTATTTCAGTCGACCTTGATTGTGTTTTTCCTCTTCTGAGCATAATAGACCCTCGTCACATTTAGTCCTTTCTGTTCTGAGCATAAAAATCTGTTTAAGACTTTATGTTACCACGCAACGGACTGGTGAGGTACAAACGCTGTTGCCATTCCGCAACACATATATTTATAGCTATCTGTCGCTAATAAAAAAACTAACAGCAACAATTTATCTCTAGCCAGTGTGTAGCTATTTAGCTACAGAATGTCAACAGAACCCGTACGTAGCTATATAGCTACGGATTGCTACAGATTTGCCACAAATTTGGCTACGAAAGTAACATTTTTTGTTTTGTCGCCATCTTTCGCTGTTTACGTAGCTAATGGCGATGGCTACGGAAATGCCTTCGCCGGTCCGCAGCTAATTCACTGAATTCTTGTAGTGTGATCCTCTTCTTCAACAAGTCCTTCTTGAGTGAAGATGACCTTGCACTGTTCCTTGGGGTTCTGAATAGCTTTACCAGGTAGTTGTCCTTGCTTTGTAGCAGCAGCAACAGAAGAAGCATGATTCTCCAGAGAGTAAACCCTTGTGTTGAGGTTCTCGATCTTAGAGTTTATTTCAGCTAGCTTCTTGCTTGTGTCCACTACCCCATCAGCTTGCCCTTGAAGTAGTTGCTTTAGCATTGCTTTGAGCTCATTCTCTTGTGAAGGTGCAGGCTGGGGCGGTTGGTGGGGGAAGCCTGGTGGGATATTCATTTGTTGTCCAGGGAAAGTGCCTTGTGGTCCTTGGTAATTGTTCTTTTGACCATACCCATGTTGTGGCACCTGACTCGATCGAGCTGCTTGTTGTTGAGGATATACTTGGTCCTGAGGGTTAGCAACATCAGTGTTGCGGTATGACATGGCAGGGTTGGACTTGTAATTATAGTATCCTTTGTTGTAACCTCCTTGCCCATTGCTCATGTAGCACACCTCAGCAATTGTGTATCCTCCCCTTCTTGGACTGGTTCCATCTCCTCAGCAGACACAAAGTTGACTTTCTTCATTGTGGACTGAGCTAGGATCAGCTTATCCAACTTCTCATTCAATGCCTTAACATCTTTTCTCAACTTTTCGTCTGACTCGATCGAGTGGTGGGTCGAGCTCCGGTTGGTGCGATCATACTCTTCTCCATAGCTTCCATTTGAGTTAGCTATGTTCTCCACAAGCTGCCAGCCATCATCTACATCCTGGTTGAGGAAGTTCCCATTGCTAGCTGTGTCTAGCATCTCCCTATACCTAGGCAAGCATCCTCTATAAAGAGTAGAGAGTAGGATTCATTGTTGAATCCATGGTGTGGGCACTGACTTGTGTAGCCTTTGAACCTCTCCCAAGCCTCTGCGAATGTCTCATTGTTTCGCTGGATGAAGCTGGATATCTCTCCTCTAAGCTTGGCTGTGCGACCGGTGGAGAAAAACTTAGCAAGAAAGGCCTTCTTGCATTCATCCCAAGTAGTGATTGTGCCATGGGGCAAGCTCTTCTCCCATTGGTGAGCTTTGTCAGCTAGAGACATAGGAAAGAGTCTCAGCTTGATGGCATCTTCAGAGACACCATTGATCTTTGTCAAATCACAAAGCCTATCAAACTCATCAAGGTGGTCAATGGGGTCTTCACTTGGCAATCCATGGAACATCTTGTTCTGGACAAGGTTGATCATTCCCAGCTTGATCTCAAAGTTGTGGTTCTGCACTGGTGGTGGAACAATCCCTTGTCTCTGTTGGTGGCGGTTTGGAGCATCTCCTTGACCAATCGGTCGAGTTTGCCTAGCTCGACCGAGTCCATTACCCAAAGGGTTTCCATTCCCCTCTGGTACATCCATTGTATCAGCAACAAGCACCTCAGGTTCCTCTTGTACCCTCTGTGACCTCTGAACCCTCTTTCTACCCGTTGTAATGTCTAGCTCGACCAAGTCTTCAGTTGACCGACTCGATCGAGTTCGCATACACCTGCAAAAAGAGACAAAAACCCAGCAGTACAATAGAACAGGGGTGGTATAGCTTGATCGTCCAAGTGTGTTTGAAACTCAAATGCAACAAAAATATTCCCAAATCGGCAACGGCGCCAAATTGATGATAGGATTTTATGTGTGTGTGAAATGAAATGAGGTGGAATGCAAACAGGGGTGAATAAAGATGATATGGTATGGTGCAAAACACAATCACAATCAACAATTCCTCTTAACCATCATAGTCATTGAAGTATAAGAGGTTATCAATCCAAAATGGGAACTTGTTACTCTTTGAGAGTATGAAACAACCTGAAAGTCAAGCAAGCAGTTATAGATTTGAAGTAACACTAACAACCTAAAAATAATGAAAAGCAGTGCAATAAAAGTAAACAAAGCAGTGAAGTGTCAGCTCGACCAAGAGCTCGAGTCGAGCTAGAGCAAAGTACCAGCTCGATCGAGTTTAGGGACGAGTTGAGACAAACAAAGCTAAAGGTGACGACTTTAACAAGATAAAGAGAGAATTAGGGTTCAAGACAGGGTTTTGCAATCAAAGGAATCTACACTTAATCAATCTAGCTCTTAAAACTCCTTGTATCAAGGCTTCTCTTGATATTGGGCTTCTCAATGCCTAGCCAACCCTTTCCCAAGGTGGAGGCTATCAACCAAGGAATGATCTCAGAAACAGGGGGTTAGCCAGTGAGAATCAGACCTTGGAGGCTATAGGATCATTGCCCAAACTAATCCATCCAACCCCTTAGACCTCTATTGTCTAGAGCAAGAGATATTGGAGCTCTTAGTGGATCTTTTCCAGCGAATGCCATCACTTCCGTGTGGGGAGTCGCCTAAGGACTTACAAGCCAGGGGTAGTGGTCATGTAGCCTTAAGATCTATCCAAAAGAGAGAGAATCTAGATTAAGACCATAAGCAAGAGCTTCAAGAACTCAAAGAGAGGATTAGATCTCTAAAAAGTAAAAGGTACAATAATTTAAAGGAAACTAAACAAAAATAATCTAAAACTTCGTTGTTTTTTTCGTGGCTAAGAGCCCTTAAATACAAAGAGGATTAGGTTTAGGGTCAAAGGGAAGTCAAGGGGGAAGCAACATTTTTCGGGTTTAACTTTGACTCCCCAGCTCGATCGAGTTGAAGCTTGGCCGGTCGAGTTGAGGAACTCGACCGGTTGGTCGAGTGGACGGTCGAGCTGGTCTTCAAGATGGCTTCTCCCTTCTTCCTTTGCGTATCCAGTTGAGCTGCTTCCATGTGCCAAGTCCCTCCATGCTCCTTATGTCCCATATGCTCCAGAATGATCCAAAAGACCTATTTCAAAGGACCAAACATGCATATGTATGCAAATGCAACCTAAAACTAACATGAATGCATAAGAAGAGAAAAGGAACAAGATATGATGCAAATGAAAGCTAAAACCATGCAAAAGATGCATAAAAGATGTGCTAAAACTATGTAAAATGCAAGTACATCAACTGTACTCTCTCTATTTGGGTAGAGAGTTCTCCAAGTCTTCCATCTAGTTCGTATCGCGTGAACTCTAGCTTTGTCTCAATGTCGCGGCTAGTTTTTCTTTGGCTCTCCATGAAACCCTCAAGCACGGCATCGAAATGGCTATCTCTCCGCCTATTGAGAACATGGTCGTGGTGTGAATGCAACACTGGTCTAGGTGGTTGATGATAAACCGGAGGTCGGTTTTGATGATGATGGTAATGATGCTCGTCTCGGCTAGGTCCTTCAAACGTCGGATGAGCGCGGTTGGGAGGGAACGGATGTGGCACGATGCTTACGGCTGGGTCTTGGTAACTCCGGCCGTGGAGATCGTGTGGGATCAGTGTCCGGTTCCCAAAGTGGATGTTGGTGTTGTGATTCATCTCCAAGTACCTATAAACACAAGATTTAAAAGAAAAAGTTAGTATTCGAAAATACCAAGATCTAGACTTAGTTTTAAACAAGACTATGCAAGTGTTTATGATGCAATCCCCGGCAACGGCGCCAAAAACTTGATGCGGCATCTATGGGATGAGTACAAGTAATAATTCCCTAAGACAACTAGTGTTGCAAGTGCACAACATATAATTGTAGTATTTAGGGGTCGAACCACAAGGGATTGGATTTCACACATTACATAATCATAGAGTTTAAATGACTAAGCTAAATCAAAAGATGCAAGGGTTTGTGTTTGTTTAGAACACGCAAAAGCAAATAACAATGCAATTCTATACAAGCAACATTATTGAACTATTGAAAACTCTTTTGAAAACATGAGCCAAGTCGATTGAAAAGTTTGTTAAAATCCGATTCTTTTGAACTCAAAACACTAAGGAAGGATTATTCCACTTTCGTGGTTCCAATCCCCTATGTCTCTTAAACCAATGGGCTCAGCTTTCGTTGGTCATTGTAGAGTGAGACATGCATTACATCCAAGTAATGATTGTTCACAAAACTCTTTAGGTCTACTTTCGTAGCCTAAAACGATTTGCCCATCAAATATTATGTCCGGAGATATAACAAGCTTTTGGAGAGTATATCAACCTAAAATCAAGTCACTAGTTAGCTACTCTAGCAACAAGCATTAAGCATAAATAAAGATGGAGAACCATAGGGTTTCCCCTTTTAACAATCGATTTTCGATGGCCATTATATCACGTCCTCATTGGAAGGATCCATAATTCAACAATGAGTCTTAGATAGTAGATGAAGTCTCATGAATCCTTAGAGAGAGAGGCGGCGGAATATGGACTAAACCACGCCTCACCCTTAGGGAGAAATCTCTACTTCTAGACTATATAAATTGAAACATGCAAGCTATATACAAATGCAAAAGAAGAAAAGAAAGAAGAAGGAGACCACCTAAGTGGCTCCGAACTTTATTGAATAAGTGTTTCTTGTTATGCGGCTGGTGATTCTTATTACAAGAGGCTAAAAGCAAGTATATATAGGTAGAGAGCGGGTCTAGGTCGGCAAAGTTGAGCGCGCGCAGAAGAGGAAAGTTTCCATTTCTCTTTAGCCGCTTGAGCTTGCTCTCCAAGTTCTTGAATGGGCCGCGTTCAGGCCAATGGAAGCTTCTGGATTGAGTTATGCTAGTGTCAAGATGAGCCAAGGCCTTGGGCGCGGTATCCGGGCCTCTTGATCCATCAAAGTCTCCATGGGCTCTACTTAGGCGCTCGTCGGACATGTCTTGGTAGAAAATAAGTTCCGGTCCAACGAGTGATCCAAATGACCTCTTTCCACTTCGCCGCGGGTCATGACTCAAATATCTATCTTTCCATATAAGAATCATGACTTTTGGACGTCGGGAAGGCATGAATATGCGGTCGTACTTCGGATGCTCCGGTTTGGTCTTTAGCGAGAAATGTATTTTGGTGCTCTAGACTTGGGAACTTGGTGATTTGACTCTTTTTGCTCCATTTTGGACTCTTCTTTGCTATTTTGACCTGAATGATGCTCAAAACCAGAATATACAAGAAAACTACCTCTTGGGCTTAAAAACCACATTATTTGTATTAAAAACATAGTGAAAACCTTGATAAAAACATGAAAGATATGGGTATATCAATCAGGCGGATCTACTTAGCAGGATCAGAGTTGCTCAGCAGAGTGATCAGAGTTTGTTGGATGCGACGAGAGTGACTGGTTCTAAGTATGAGGTCTCTGCAAATGGGACTATCTTGGTCCGTGGGCGAGTTTGTGTGCCTAAGGATGTGGAGTTGAGACATCAGATTTTGGGAGAGGCTCATGCGAGCAAGTTTTTCATTCATCCAGGTGCGACCAAGATGTACCATGACCTCAAGAGGTACTATCATTGGGTCGGGATGAAGAGAGATGTAGCAGACTGGGTTGCGAAGTGCAACACTTGTTCCTTGGTGAAGGCAGAGTATCATGTTCCAGGTGGTCTTTTGCAGAGTTTACCCATTCCAGAATGAAAGTGGGACATGATTACGATGGATTTCATGGTTGGACTACCTATTTCGAGGACTTTTGATGCCATATGGGTGATTGTTGATCGGTTGACTAAGTCCGCACATTTCTTGGCCATCAAGAAGACAGATGGAGCTGCTGTCTTGGCTAGAAAGTTTGTGCGAGAGATTGTGAGGCTGCATGGAGTGCCAGCTAGTATTGTGTTAGACCGTGATCCCAGATTCACTTCAGAGTTTTGGAGGGCGTTTCAGGCAGAGATGGGCACTAAGGTGCATCTGAGTACCGCTTATCATCCGCAGACAGATGGTCAGTCAGAGAGGACTATTCAGACTTTG